TAGATGAATTTGGTTGCTAAGCTAGGATATGGTATAATGTACTTCTGTAGTTAGCAATATGAGATGTGGCTTGTAACAAAGTAGAGGCTATGATCTTAAGTTAAGATTTGTTTGAGTCCCTGCTATTTTTAAACTTCTTTCAAAGACTAACTGTTGTGTTTGCTTGAGGACAAGCAAAAGGTTAAGTCTGGGGGAGTTGATATACCATGGTTTTGACCCATTTTTGACCATGGTATTTATATGATTTTATAATATATTTATATGTTTTGGAGTCTATTAGGTATGTTTTCATGTTCAGGAGCATTTTGGAGTAAAGTGATGATTTAGGTGCCCTTATGGAGCTTTAAGGAGAATTTTCCCGAGATGACTATAAAGATCAGACAGTAAGGTCGATATCCAGAGATACATATTGATTGATACACATCTTGTGTAATTGATCGACGATGCTTTCGTAGAAGATGACTTTGGATACTCCATCGATCGATGTACACCATGTACCATCGATCAATATGAAGCGTGAATAACAAGTTTAACTTGGCCGACTTGAAGCCCAAGTTCTCTCAATATTACAAGATTGCCCCTGACGAGTTTTTAACCTAATGGAACTCATATTTATAGTTTTGCCTATGTGTTTTGGCTAGACATTCTTTTGTTGTTTTAGTGCTTTTTGTACTTCAAAAGCTTTACATGTTTTTTATGTTCTTTGATTTATAAAAGTATTCTTTTCATCTTATTCTCATTTTTATGAAGGTTATAGAATTCTAGATTCAGAAGAAACACACAAAGAGATTTGTTGTTCCAAGAACCAAGAGTTCAATCTTCTAATCTAATGAATTTCTATTATTACCTTGTTGCTATGAATCACTTAGCCATGTCTGAGTAGATTCACTTGTTAGATTTAGGGTTCAAATAGTTATGAGGGATTAGCCCCAACTATGGATTGTTGATTTGTGATATTCATTATCCTGATCAACTCTAATGCTTACTCTAGAATAGGTAACTAGAGTATGATCATGGAATGATTTAACTTGTTAATCATCATCCTGAAATCATCTGGTATAAGTTGAGATTCTAGGCACGATGCGAGAGCCGGTCTATGATCTTGGTGAATACTTTCGTTTCGATCTAAAGCTCTATCGATCGATACTCTTATAGAGTAATCGATCGACGGCTACATATATCGGCCGATGTTGCGATAGCAATAACGATCGATATCGTCGGCAGTCAGATCAATGGACGAGTCTAATAGCGATAGCTTTAGATTTATATAAGAATTGAAGTTCTTTAATATCTTGCAAGCAACTTATAAAGACATCTATAGCATTATAATCCTGATTATCTGAATAGTAACCTTGAATCTAACTACTTTCTTTATTGTTTAAAACCTAAACCAAACTCTCTTGAGCAACTTACCATTGCTCACAACTGCAATTTATCTTTTAAACCATAATCAACCTAGCATAATCACTTAGGATTTTATCTTTTGTGTTCCTTAGTTCCTCGTGAATTTGATCCCTAAGTACTACAATTGAACCTCTTATTTGAGAGAGTAATTCACTCCTTAGAAAAATTTTAGTGATATAAATGACCGATAATTCAAGTAGCTGGCAATCATTTTTCCAAAAAAGAATCTACTAATACCCATTCATTGTATTCGACTTCTGTTATTTTTTCCCACAAACTCCAAAATCCAATCCAATTTCTATATGTCCTAATGGTTCTTGTTTTCTTGAGACATTCCTATATAATTTTAGTGGTGGCCTGTACAATATTTTATATTTTGTACTACTTGACTTTCGATATGTTAAAGTTCCACATTGCTATCACTAGTTCCATCATGGTTAACAGATATGCTTATCACATGTGTAGTCTTCTCAACATCTAGATTCTGGAACACACGTAGAATTTTGACTCCTTTACCATTCTAGTTGATGCAAAGCCAAGATCTTCTCGAGAACAGACCAGACCATCTCTGAAAACAGAATTAGTTTTTTTAAAGTAGGTTTATATCTTTATTCCTAGTAGACTTTCTTTCCATAGTTTAAAAGTGGATCAAGAAACATGTGTATTCAAGAGTAGGACTATCAATCGGTTTTGGTCCGGTCCGACCCAAAACCTTCAAAACCTATTGCTATATAAATTTGGTATTGCCCGAATATTATTTTTAGAAGCTCGACCCGACCTAAAAGAACTACAGTAGAACCTTTATAAATTAATACTCGATAAATTAATATACACTAAATATCTCTATAAAATAATGTAATTTTATAGACCCAGTTTTTGGTTCACTTAGTATATCAATAATTAATATCTCTCTAAATTAATAAAAAAATTTTTTTGGTGTAGTCCCAAAATTATTAATTTATAGAGGTTTCACTGTATAAGATTTTATGGGCTTTTCGAGCTTTTATAAAAGATAAATTAAAATTAAATGCATTAAGTTTAAAACTAAAATTATCTATATATTTATACAATCTAAAATTAAACAGTAATAATGAATATAAATACTAGATCATGATCAGGAATACGACTAGATACAAGGCAGATATTTGTATTTTAGCAATACTTGATACTTGACTTGTCTTGTACAAGTAATAAACATTATGACTTATATTTGATTTGTCAAAAACGGTTACTTGTTATTGCGAATACTTACTAAAAGTAAGTTACTTGTGTGTTATTTATTATGTTTTATTATTTGCTATTTGGGAATATTTGTGAGTTACGTGCAATTATTATGAGTTACTTGTGAATATTTTTCAGTAACATATATGTAATTTCAAGTATTTAAAAATTATTTTCTGAATAATGTTATACTGAAAAATGAAAATGGAAGTTTATTTTCTTTATTGTACAAGAAAAAAATATGAGAATTAATATAAATAAAACATTCGTACATAACATAAAGGATAAGAAAGAAAGAAAATATGAAATATTTCTATTGGAACATTATTCATTTCACACAATAACAAAAACATATTTTCTAAGTAACGAGTAATATCAAGTCGAGAAGATAATTTTTTTACATATTTGTTACTTGACTTGTACTTGCAAAAATCTAAATTTTACTACTCCAACTCAATTTGCCGATAACGAATACTTAAAACAACGAGATGAATACAGTGTGAGTAATGGGTGTTTATGCCCAACCCTAATCAGGAAGTTCTTCAATTTACCACATTCACATCGTTGTCAGGAGATACATATAAGATATAAAATATAACAAATCTACATATAAATCAATATATTTGTTGGATAAATATTAATAATTTACTTAAATCATTTCAATTATGTTATATAAATCAGTGATTTAACATGTCTAGATAGGAGACTTCTATATTTATTTAAGACATGAATACCATTTTTAAAACTAGACGTTGACGTCATTGTAGTTGCCAAAATTTATATTAGTATAAAACATGAACTCTCAATTTCTTCGTCGATTTGGACGTCGATTGACGTCATTGTAGTTGCCAAAATTTATATTAGCTGGCAATCATTTTTTCCAAAAAAGAATCTATTAATACCCAGTCATTGTATTCCACTTCTGGTATGTTTTCTCACAAACTCCAAAATCCAATCCAATTTCTATATGTACTAATATAAATTCTGGCAATTACAATGACGTCCAAATCGACGTCCAAAATTCATATTAGTATAAAACATGAACACTCATATGGACGTCCAAATCGTCGTCGCTTGTCAATCTATGTCGTGTGGGAGAGAGCTACAAGAAAATCGAATTGAACATTTCATGTTTCTTTTTTTTTTCTTAATCCAGTCTACAATTTCTTCGATGTTCCTCGAGCACATCTGAAGAAGGAATGTTGGTGTAAGGTGGATGCCCAGTAATTGTTCAATGATATGCATGAGAGGGAGGTGAAGATAAATTTGGCACACAGATGTAGGCAAAGAGAGAGAGTGAGTATGTATTAAAAAATAATGCCAAAAAGATGAGTGAGCGTTCCGAGAATTGAACTGAGACCTCTCACATCCTAAGTGAGAAACATACAATTAAAGCAATGGACAATTTTCTCAAATGATTTTAAGATAAATTATTTTCACCCAACGAAGAAAACAATCAAAAAATTAATTAAATAGCCAAAAAATTGTTATATCCTTACTTTATAGATACATAAATATAAATAATTATTTAAATAAAACAAGAAATAAAACATTATTAAAATAATACATTTCTTTTATAATTTTTGATTTTTTATATTTTAGTATATAAAAATTTTTAAGAAATTTAAGTTGTTTTAAATTAATTCAAAATTTTATTTTTAAATTTTTAAATTACTTTTCAAACTATTTAAAAAATATTTTAAATTTTAAATATTCTTTTAATCATTAACTCCATCTTTGGCATTCCCTCCTAAACTTACTCCTCAAATCTAAACTTCTTTAATGAAACATTTTGGTTATATTTATGATAAACAAATTATACACTATAAATAGAAAAAAAAACAAATTAAGTGATATTTCTTTCTTTTTGTTTTGTAACATTTGCACTGAGAAATTTATCTACCAAAATATCATCTATATAAGTCATATATATATATATATATATATATATATATATATATATATATATATATATATCTTATTATACGGTGAGAAGATTATTAGAACAAGTGTTCTTTGTTTGGAATATGAATATGCTGTTTTGCTGCTGGTCAAAGAGATCACCACCACTATATAATCCAGACAAGTAGAGCGACTTATATATCTCTACAGTTCTATGTAATCTGAATACAAACTTTTTGTTTTTATACTCTTCTTGCAATGCTAAGTGACCCACTTTTGTCTCCCTTGGAAAATTTTCTAGTGTTGTTGTGAATGCTGAATTGAAGATCTGGATGCACTGTGAGAACTGCGCAAAACGTGTCAGAGAAGTAGTTATGAACTTAAGGGGCAAGAAATAATTTTCTTATTCACAATATATATTTATTCACTGATGGTAATTATATAGCATTGACATTGTTGTAATAACAATTTTTATGATATGTTATAATATATTAGGAGTTCGACAATGTGATACGGATCAGGATGCTCAGAAGGTTATTGTGGGTGGTGATTTTAATTTAGATGAGGTGGTGGAAACTGTTAAGAGAAAACTTGGTAAAAAGACAGAAGTTTTGACTACGATTAAGGAAGCTAATGTAATTGCAAATGAAGATGATGAATCTGAAATAGTTCCAGAGAAGATAAATGAAGATATTGAAATAGTTCCAAAGGAAAGTGAAGAATCTGAAATAGTCTCAGAGAGAAATGAAGAAATTGAAATAATTCCAAAGAAAAATGAAGAAATTGAAATAGTTCCATAGAAAAATGAAGAATCTGAAATAGTCCCAGAAAAAGAATCTAATCCTAATTGATGCTCTAATAATAGTATAACTAGATTTTGACCCGCTCAACCGAGCGGGTGTTAATTTCGTTTATAAATATGTATATATATATATATATATATATTTATTTACATCACTGTATATTTTATTATTCATATGTTTAATGTTTATAAAAGATTTTGTTAGAATTCTTTTTAAAATATTTATTTTATTTTAAATAAAAGAAAGATATCAAAAGATATCGTAACTAAGTCAAATAAAATGTTATTAAGATATATATGAAATATTACTTTCTAGGAATGGTCTATTTTTAAAAATATCACACATGAAGAGAAGTTGTGACTTCTCTTTTAATATAATAGATACTTAGTGTCTATATTTTTAATATGCATTATCCGCAAGTTTATATTAATAATTAATTTAATTTTCTAATAATTTTAAAGTAAGAAAATAGAAATAATTTATATATATCTTAAATGATTTATTTTTTCCAAAAAATGATTTGTTATTTTTCCTATTTAATTTTTTAGATAATAATATTCTTAAAATAACTAATGTTTAGACATATTTTATTTGTAAATTTAAATGCATCAGTGTATTTGTAAACATCAATATATTTTCTATTAATCATAATATTCTTAATTATATAGACTTTCTAATGTGTATTATTAAGGAAAAATTTGGTGAATATTCATAAGAGAATCGACAATGAAGAATATAGACATAAGCAATTTGATGTGAAAATTAGCGACGTTTTTGGACAGTTTTCTCTTTTCACGCGTTTGCGCATCATTAAGAGGTGAACGGATCACTTATACCGTAACATTTATATCTTATAACAATCAACTTTATGAAAACGCGAGGTGGCGTATAGGACTATGAACAAAAGGAAACATATATTATAACATATATAATATAGTGTATGAGTTGAAAAATCGCATGACAACAAAACTATAATTGTATTGTGGGCTCGAAAGTGGATTCCAATAAACGAAATGAGGGGACAAAAAAATTTATTGTTTACTATCGCTTATTGATGTATAGCATATTTGCATAGTTTTAACCTTCCAATCTTGATTTTTTTTTTTCATTTAGGACTTCATTTAGACATTTTTATGATGCATTGCATTACATATGTCCTATCAGGTATTGAAGATGCAAAATGGTTACTTTAGATCCTTTGGAAGTGATTTAGAGAAAGACTGACTGATTTTCAAGCATGAGTTTAAATGACCAAGTGTCCCAGCAGCCTGGAGACATCACAGCGCCCTAGTGAATTAATCGAGAAGCCACTAACATCTAGCCCTCACTGAGAAGTACACAAGCGATATATGGTAGCGGTTACATGAAGCCGTTGTACAAGCCTCCACAATCTCGTCTCCCTGTTCAAAATTGACATGCTGCAGCGGTCTGATGATGTCAAAACTGAGGGAATGGGAAACCTACACAGACTAAGTGACCCAGCGGCATGGTGGAGCGGCCGGATGCAGAGTAAAAGGGTGCTGAAGTGGTGCAGTGGCATGATGCAGCGGCCTCCTTAGGCCGTTTTAAGCGTCCAAAAGTCAAGATTTCGAGTTTTACCAAACTTTTTACCCATTTATGTTTGGGCCAGATCAGGTTTGTTGGGCTGGCCCAGTTCAATTTTGGGCACTAAAAATACTTCTTAAACCTAATCTTATGATATCTTATTCTCTCTCTAAACAAAAGAGCATATTGGTGAAAGTTTGATCCTTTAATAAAGTTTTCATATTATCTCTTGTGTTCTTGAGTGATTTATTGCTTTCTAAACATCGTTAAGCTTGGATCCATCGTAGATTTAAGAGTAAACATGTTTATCAGTGAGTACATCCATTTTGTGATTCATGGGTTAGATGGATTAGGGTGATTATGTGGATATTTAAGTTGTTTCTTGTTAGATTAACATAGATCTATGCTTGCTAAGTGATCTTAATGCTAGATTAACCTTGATCAAGTTGATTTAGAACTTAAGCTTTTTCATGCTCATAATGTGTTTGTTAAAATGCTTGATTGAACTTAGTATTGTTCTAGCTTGATTAGGCCAAAGACATTTGATGCCTAAACTGCTAGACATTTGTGCGGTTGTGTATTCTGATGAAAGAAGAAACACATGAAAGGGAGCTTAAGGGCTGCGAAATTGTTTGAGGCTACTATAGACGAGACGTATACACACGTAACTATGTGTATTCCAACATATGACAAACAATACTACAATATACATTATATAGTATAAACTATAGTTAAACCCAACAGATCACTTCCCAAATTACAAACTATACTATAACATTTGGTGCACATAGTCGTTAAAAGGAGATTGCACCTAGGTTAACAATGCATGGAAAGAAGCAAACCATTCTAGAACTGTTGAAATTAAGTGTAACAAAAGTGTCGGAGGTAACTGTAAACGAAACATGTATATAACTAACTAATTGTATTCAGCTGACTAACTATACTATATGCAGAGTGGTATAGTTTAAAAATAAAAACCAACATGTCACCTCCCATATTGGGTGAGGTATGTAGGAGCGGTAAGCACAAATGAGGTGTCTTTGTGGCGAAAATGTGTACTCCAATTCAATAAAATAAACATTATACAAGTGGTGAACATAAGGATTTGAAATTGCTGGACTGTACTATATAAGAGACATTTATACGCGAACACAACATATGAGGTCCGTTAGGTCGCAAGTTCTATTATTCTATATAGCATATAGTATAGTTCGAAGAGGCCGATATGGCAAATGTTTTTGGTGCGGAAGGCATAACATGAGGTTCGAGAGGGTAAACCGATGAAAGATGACACAAATGCTTCATGGATGAAATAAGGCGATTATAGTAGATATGTATATGCACTAACTTACGGTGTATTTGATCATCAGACAAACTATGCTATTGTATACAATTTATAGTATAGTCAAAAATATAACACAACAAATCGCCTACAAAATTGCATAGCTTATGGGGAAAATTTAATCAAAGATGGGGTGTATCAGTGTGAGAATGTGTTGTTTGAAGGTAGAAAAAACATAGAATAAAACTTGTGAACTTAAGAAGCTCCCAATTGGTGGAATCTATTATAAATGATTTTAGTATACAAACTAAACTGGCGTGTTTCCCGTTTGACAAACTATATTATATTATAAATTATATAGTATAGTAGTGAAATACATAAAAGTAAATAATAATATTGAACATCGAAAAGAGATAATTTTATGACTTCTATCTATCGTAAATTAAAGTAGTTGTTATTCTTTTTTGACCGGTTGGTTCGATCCATGTCTGCTACAATCGCTCATGCATTATTTAACTGTTCTCGTATGAACGATCCATATATAAAACATAAATCACCTAAATGAAGTATAAAGCACAAACAGTTGTGGGAGATTATCTTTTTGTCGCACCGCCGTTAACTGCATCGATCATATCTGTAAAAGAAACAATGTTTCTGATTTAATGTTTGTAAATACATGTTTGGCTGGTCTCGGAACTGACAACATGGCCCATTTATGTTACTCAATCAAACTGGACATACCTTGATTATTTGTATTTTTCTATGCAAGCTCTTCTTCGTGAAAGTTGAAAGACTGTTGGAACCCTAACTATGATTTTCCAATTTCTGTTTCTTACAACAAACGTCATGCGACGTGTTTCCCTTCCCCTTCTCTAAACTGGACTCACAATTTCTCTCACCAAAGTTTTCTTCTCCGGCACATGAAAAAAGGTTGAGAAGGCAAAATAAGTTTTTGGTTTACAAGGAAGAAGAATAAACGAGCTCTTTCACCTTTTCACGTACACAATGAAAGATATATTTGTCCAATTTTCATATAATATATAAGATATCGTAGCCTAAACGTCGTAATGGCTATAAACTTTTTTTCACTATGTTATGTATACGTCCCAAAATTTCTCTATTATAACTAATACACTGTTATAAATATTTTTATTATAATTTGTGTATATCTTTCTATTTAAATGGAATTAAATATTAATCCATATACACAATATTTAACTTTCTTTGTATTTACCAAAACAAATTTAACCAAATTTTTACAATGAAAATATGATCGTTATCGACTTATTGTCTGAATATATGTATTTCAAATACTCTTATTTTGTTCTTTTAAATGCATATCTGATAGTATAATATTTGAATTTAGGTTTAGTCATAATAAATAGTTTGATGAAATTTAAGTAATATTAGATATTTTTGTTAGATATAAGACAAGGAAGAAATACATGTACACATTTAAACTAAAATTAAGTAATTATATCATGTTTTAAATAAAAATATATAAAATGTGAAATATTAGATATTTTTTTTACTTGAGATATACTAGATAGTAGTAATATTTATTGATTAATTTACTTAGATAATATTATTTCCAAATGAAAAAAAATAAAATAAACATTATATATATCTTTCTTTTTTGTTCGCTCTTAAACTACGTTTTAATGTCAATATTATTTGTAATATTATATGAGATTTGAACTCATTTATTTAGTGAGTCTTTTTATATTTCATTTTTGCATATCTTTTAGTAACATTGTTCTTCAAATACCGTTATTTGATAAAACTTATGTGAAATCATTTTTAATTTTATATGTTACTAGGGTTTGACCCGGCGGGTTAGTAACTGAAAAAGTTATACAAATATCTTATCAATATGATATGAAAATAATCTCTATTTTCAATATGTAAAATTTGCTGCTTTTTATTACAGGAAAAGCTTACAATAATACAAAAGATTACAATTATACATATATTCAGATTCTACAAATAACAACTATATATTTCGACATATTATCTATTTTTGGTAATCAAAAATGCTTGTTATATTTCTAGCATGCATTTTCCAGAATATCTTTTGATTTTTTTTTGTTGAAAACCTAAAATGTTGATAAATACCCACATAATATTATTTTTTTTTTTCATTTTTTAAGCAGTTTGACGAGTGAAATGATAAGTATAATCATTTCTTATCCAACCACTTCGTTAAGCACTCCTAGCTTAGTTGGCCACATCCTCCTCCACCAGATAGAGGTTACCTTCTGATTGTTTTCTATTTTGTTATATTATAATCTTTTTCTTTATGTTTATTAATTATTCTCTTTTTATATGATATAGTTTTTAATTTTTTCCACGAAATATAGAATATACTTTTCTTGAAAATTTTGCAATGTACAAAAAGATATTTTCATCCATAGCTAAACATCTGACGCATTTGTGCAGTCCTGCAATCAAAGGGCTCCAAAAGACATCAAAATCACCGTATTTCTCCATAACGTACCTGAACCTGTAAATACTCTAAAAATACTCCAAAACATAATAAATATATCTTTAAACACTCATATACCATGACTAATAATAGGTAAAATCCATGGTATATCAGTAATGCTTCTCAAATAATATACAATGCATATATATATATATATATATATATATATGTAGTGAGGCTTTTATTTATATGATTTTATGATCATTTGTATCTTGTTATAATAAAAACTTTAATCCATGGTCACAAAATTTTCATTGTGAGATTTTTACAGTTTTAGTATTTACAGTTGTTTTAAGAACTTCAAAATGCCATATATGAAAATTGTAAAATTTTATTATATGGTTAATATGATTCTTTAATTAATTTTAAGAATATAAAATTAAACATAAGATGATGGAGGATATACAAATTGTTATCATATATTTATTACTAAAATTCTTAATTGTCATATATATATATATTAGTTATATTAGGTAATTTCGTAATTTTTATATAAAGAACAAGGAAGCATATTAATGCTACATTATTAAATATTTTTATGATTAGTTTAATGAAAAATATAATATATTGTTAAATGGATCAACATATTTATCTATGAACCTTTGAGAAGCTTTCTTTTTTTTTTTGTTTAAATACTTCATAAATATTATAGAAAGGATATCAATTTTTTTTTAAAAAATATAAAGAGTGCGTGATAATTTTCTGGGGATTATAAAAATATTTATTCTATTAAAATAAAATTACAGACCTTAGTTTTTAACTTATTTGCAATGACATATCATTGAAGTTCTAATTAGTCTACTTTTTAGGATTCTTTATTTTTCTGTTTAATTAATGCATTTTCAAAATTAAATAATTGATGAAAAATGTTATTTTTAGAGCTATATAATTATATTTTTATTATTTAGTACTAATAGCTAAAATAAAATCACATATAATACATAGATTAATGTATACATATACTATATTACGTATATTTTCATATAAATAATAGTCTAATGTATGTTTCAAAAATAAATAATAAGAGTCCAGTGTACATTCTGTATGATAAATGTTGAAAATATAAGATATATAGCATCATATATTTTATATAGTATATACAACAATTTTACTCTACATTATTAAAACAATTGATCCATAAGAAAATAAAATTATATTTGTGCGGATATACGGATCATATTTTAAAAAAAAATGGATGATAAAATTGATGGCTTACAAAATAAAATATCACTACTCAATATAAAGTTTAAAATTCTTGTGTTCAGAAATGTCATATTAAACAATTATTTACATAAATAAAATTTAAAATCAAAATAAAAATACACATCAGGCAATTTTAGTTAAGGATATAATTAAGGACCGTAGACACCAACATCCAACCATTTAACTATACAGTTTAACCTATATAAATTAATAATGTCGGGACTTTGCAATTTTATTAATTTATAGAGATATTAATTTACCAAAATTTGTTTATTTTAAGATATATTTATTCTAAAATAAAAAATGTATTTTATTTTAGTGTATAGATATTTATTATCATTTTTGAAATTTGACATTTATATTAAATTTCTTTTAGTATTTGGTATATATAATATATATTTCATAGAATTTAAATATGGTTTTAGATATAACATTACTAAATCTCATCAACAATATATTAAGTGTCAAGAAAATATAAAGATAATTCATTGTAAATATAAAACAAATAATATGATAATAGGTTCTTACGTATATAAAATATATATAAATATAAAATTATTAATTTATAATTTTAATGGGACCATATTTTTACATAGAAATTTCTAAAAAAATATTATCTTATTATTTTATCCATTTGTGTCAAATTTTGAACCGGCCCAAGTTGGGACCGACAAAATTTATTAATTTAGAGAGATTATTAATTTATAGAGTATTAATTTATAGAGGTTCTACTGTATAACTATCCTAAACTCATGTTCAACAACAACAAAAATCATTCACACATTATACTTGTCTATAAAGACAAGTGATTGGTTAGGTTGTAACTAATGGGTTTTAGCATTATTTTCAGTCTATAATCATATAAATCACTAGTTATGTTTTAAATAGTTTTTAAAATTAAAGCAAAAAATGGCTATCTAAAGCTTATTTTCTAAAGCAAAAAATAATAATGTATGATTGCTGTAGGAAAATCTTTCTCTTTTTTATTTTATCTCATTTAATTTCTACAGATACATTAGATACAACTACTTCAAAAAAATTCTATAGTTTAAATTCTACAGTAAAGTTTTTATATTTACAATCCAACCAATGTCCTCAATATCCCATGCATTTCCAACTCCGAGTTAAAAGAGTCTATAGATTGGTAGAATCTATAAACAGTAAATCAAACAAAAAAGAACTGAATAACTATCTTTGAAAAAAAAGAAGGAAAAATGATTGCCAGCTACATGAACTATCACTATATGGCCAACCATGCCAAGTAAATAAATGTACACTCAACTACACGAAGAATATGGTTTGCATGATAAGAGCCCTAGACTTTATGTTGTTATGTAGCCAACATCACCAACTTAATTTGATTAGTTTAAAGCGCCACGTCGACGTCTAACGCCGTGATTAGCTGTTTGGTTGAATGAATACCGAAGATCGACCAAAATAAAGAAAAAGCCGACCTAACTGCTTCTTTTCTCATCCTCTTTATCGGAGAACTAGAGACTGGAATTAAAAGATATCAAAGTGAAGGAACACCATTCAACAGAACTAAACAAGTAAGATTCTTAGAACCCAGTAGAGAAGTGTTTAACTTTTGCTTGATTATGATATGAGATGTGATGATTGACTAGTTGTTCGATAGATGGATCTAAAATCGGGGTCATTAAACAGAAATAGGAACAAGGGTTATGGTGGTCGCAAACTGTGTGCTTGTCGGTTGTCAGCAAAGGTTTTCACGGCTTGGGCAAACTGTGTGCTTGAAGGTTCTTTGAGTGTGAATTGTACAAGGTGTAGATCGAACAAATGATTTTTGGATGTTATAGTAGTAATGGAATGAGTTATAACATGTTTTGTTGTGTTTAGGAAGGAGGGAATAAGCATTGTTCTTACTTTGAGTGGCTTGATGGAGAAGAAGTTAATGGTTGGCCAAAGAGAGCTTTGATTAAAGCACGAGATGAAATTCTTGAGAAAAAGAAACGGATAAGTGAACTAACTGCCACTGTCAACTTCATTCGTATGGAGTCGGAGCAGCATAAGGTGGAGAAACCAAGTTGTTGTAAAAAAGATGAAAAGATAATGAATTTGTGTAGTTGTTGAACAAGGGTAATATGTAATGAATCAATGAAGCTGAAATTTGTTTCTTTATATATGTAATATATTGAATCAATGAAGATGAAGTTATGGATCATATGTAATGAATCAATGAAGTTGTAGTTTGTTTCTTTATCATCCGTAATGTATTGAATCAATGACATTGTTGAACAAAAGTAATATGTAATGAACAATGAAGTTTCTTTCTTTATCTTCTATCTTTTTCATGCATATTCAACCAAAACTAGACTTAATAATATAGATTGAAGGTTTGAAGATAACCAAATGTCAGGAAAAGTTAAGTCATAGAGACTACTAGTTCACACATCAAAAACAAGTAAAGTAAACCCGAGACATGACACATTGTTAATCCAAAAAGAACCTAATACCCAAGACTTAAAACATTTTAAAACTTTCAAAACACAAAAGACATGATACCCAATATTTGAAACATTTAAAAACAAGATCGACCAAACAACAATGAAGCCAGACGAATGCTTCTTCGGAGTACTTGAGTTGGTTGTGGTGCAGTAGAAGAAACATCTTGAACTTCAGCTTCCTCATGTGCTTTGTCTCTTTCTATCTGAGCCATAAAATCAGCTTCCATCTCAGGCTCTTCTTGTGCTTCATTATTTTTTTCCTCTTGAGCTTGTAGTTGAGCTTGAACTTGTCCCTCAAACTAAGCTTCCTCATTAAGACGCTTTCTCTTCGCCATGTTTTCATGAGACTACGAGAAAATAAATGTTATAACCAGACAACATAAACGATTTTGAAAAGGAGCAAGACAATACTTCATGTGGACATTTCTTTGAATTATGTCCTTTTTTAACGACATATACCACAATGTCTTTCTCTTCTTTGATAGCCAACCTACTTCTTAGAAGGTGATTCATGGACATTCTTGATTCTCGCTTTATCTTTTGATCTACCTGGTGGTCACTTATAGAGGGTGAAAAGATGTTTCCTCCATCAGTTTTTTTTTTCCAAGACTTAGGACCATTAACCAGCTTGAGACCTCTACGATATGTCTCATTCCACTTGTCAGTCAAATAGTAATCTGAGATGTAATCCTCAACGAAGCCGCGGTTATCTCAAATTGTAGAAACATCATAGCGACAAGAATACCTGTCAAGTCCTAATTTCTATATACACAAGTGTGCCTATTGAGATACACTGAGTAGCCATTTTTCCTTCCATAATCTTATATTTTCCCCCAGATCTTGAGACAGAGTAACAGTGCGGCGCTTCATAACAAGACTTCTCTATCTCTTCTCTTGTTTTATCTGTGTGTCTTCCACTCTCCCTACAAGCTATTAGGTACATATTCGCTATTCTTTGCATTGCATATCTCCTAATAAGTTTCGGCATCTGCACAAATGGCTTCTTCTTTGCATTTTTCAAAATCCTATTGAAAGACACTGTCAGATTGTTGTGAGTATCAGCACAAGAACAACCAATCCTAAAAAAGGTTCTGCACCAATTACGTGATCTTTCTTCAGCAGATCATCACATGCCTGCAGATCAATTTTTTTGAAGATTTTGAGGTTTGCTTTGAAATCACCATCGTTATAACTACTTGTAACTCTCTAAAAGAGGGACTTCAAAGTGTCAGACTTATGCAATTCCTTCAGATTATCGTAGATGTATCTATCACATGCTCGATGCTCGGCCTTTGGAAACTCGGTAGCAACACCATGAATCAAACTCCTATGCATGTCATATATAATCGAAACGTTGTCACCTTCACCCAAATCCAAGTCAAGCTTCAACTTGTGAATGAACCATTCCCAGTTATCATTTTTTTCAGCCGACACTACTTCCCAAGCTAAGGGATAAGTTTGATTATTCGGATCCCTTCCTATTGCTGTGAGAATCATCCCCTGGACAGAGTGTTTTAAGAACATACCATCTAAGCCGATGATGAGTCTGTAGTTCTGTTTCCATGACCTATTTAGCTTATCGCAACAAATATAGATTTGCGAGAACATTTCTTTTCCATCATCTCTTCTGATAGTGTTAATCTCCATGATGATGTTTTATTTGTCCTGAAAAATATAGACAGAAAATATCAACATATAAAAGTTATGCACATTTAAAGTAAAAGAAACACACTTTACCTTTTAAGTTCAGCCTCATAATCTCTTAACTGTGCGAATTGCTTGTCAGTTTCATTTTGGAGTTTATAAAAGATCATTCTCCTAGAAAATTGTGATTGTGGAGGTGAGATGATGATGTTGTACCTCCTCTTCATTTCATCTTTGATTTCTGGAGCACTCATTTCAGGATCTCGTCTAATGTCTTCTAAAAATAGATCAGCTATTATCGGAATTTTGATCAGCTTACACCTCCCAACAAGATGAAATTGATCCTCATCCTCATAGGTTTTGACAATCCCTTTTCCAATTGGGTTCTCCACTGAACAATATATGTGCCATCCACAATCATTCTCATTACACTTTGCACTGAGATTAGTCTTTTCCAATCTATCAAAGATAACATTTCTCCTCGTCTTCAGAATGTATCGGATAACATTCTCTTTAAACTCCTCACCAGTATTGAACAATTGCCTTAGACTAAAAATCCCAGCAGGTATATTTCTTTTCACCAACATCTCAGTTTTTTTTCTTCGGCAACTGATGAGTCATCAATGGTAAGGTATTGTTCGTCCTCATGTGGAATGTGTTCTTCATAGTTGACATATTCAAAAACTTCTATCTTCTCCTCAACTACCTCAATATCATCATCATATTCTGATTTCTCGGACAAACCTGCCTCAGAATCTATACTTCCATCATCTGATGGTTCACCCCTATGTGTGGCATCTTCTCTTTCATCATCACTTCCAACCTCATCACCTTCAGCCTCTTCATGTAATTCTTTTATGATCGCATCTTCATGACATTCTTCAACTTCTTTTTCAAGTTTGCTTAGTTCTGTTTCCTTTTCAGGTATGCTTGCTTCTGTTTCTCTTCCCGTAACATCTTTTTCAATGTAGAGATCAACTTCCTTATACCATTGACCTGCGATTCTCAACTTCTTCTTGTTAAATTTCACTTTTTCCCACAAAGTTTTACAATCTTCAAGACTTTCATATGGAAGTGTGAACCGCATTTTTCCAGTAATGATTCTTCTCTCAATTAGCTTTGACATCAAAGATTTGAAGACACAGCGAGAATCTACTTCAAGCACAACTAGTTATGCATGATATTATTCAATGATCGCATCTTCATGACATTTTTCAACTTCCTTTTTAGGTTTGCTTGGTTCTGTTTCCTTTTCAGGTATGCTTGCTTTTGTTTCTCTTCCCGTAACATCATTTTCAATGTAGAGATCAACCTCCTTATACCATTGACCTATTATTCCCAACTTTTTCTTGTTAAACTCCACTTTTTCCCACAAAGGTTTACAATCTTCAAGACTTTCATACGGGAGCTTGAACCACATTTTTCCAATAATGATTCTTCTCTCAATCAGCTTTGACATCGAAGATATGAAGATACAGCCAGAATCTACTTCAAGCACAACTAGCTCTCCATCAACAATTCTAAGTTGTATTCTGTCTTTTTGAAAACTCCAGAATGGTGAGAATTGACTTTCACCAATGATGAATCGTCTTTATTGCAAAAAATCCAAAAAAAAAACTTCAAAAAAAAATCCGATATGAACTCTACTACTTGACAATAAACAATCAGACAAATAACTGTAATTCATTACAACACCCTAACAACGACCAGACAAAAGCGAGATCAAACAATTGTGAAACCACATGTTGAATAAGACAAAACAAATAAAAAAGGAACAAAACAATCCATGATATCAACCACATACCTCATTTTAACACGATTTCGCCCTCGATTCACTCTCGTTCCTTGGTTTCGATCAATAACCATAAACGATTTTCTTGTTCTCTCACGCTTTCAAATGGAACCCTAGATTCTGGGATTTTTCTCCTTTGTCGCTAGAATGAGGAGAGCAAAACAAATATTAGGTTTTTTGGGCCAAAAGATATCATTTATAGCCCAATAAATGTCTTGTTTCAATTTTGGATTGGTTGGCTTTTTTTTACTTGGATTAATCTCGGGTTTTCATTTAACCAAACGGCTAATAACGATGTTAAACGCCCATGTGGCGCTTCAAAATAATTAAATTAAGTTGGTAATGTTGACAACATAACAACATTAATTCTAGGGATGTTAGCATGCAAATTATATACTACATGTAGTTGGATGTGCATTATATAATGACCGATAATTCAGGTAGCTGACAATCATTTTTCCAAAAAAAGAATCTTCGAATACCCAGTCATTGTATTCGACTTCTGGTATGTTTTCCCACAAACTCCAAAATCCAATCCAATTTATGTATGTCCTAATGGTTCTTGTTTTCTTGAGAGATTCCTATATAGTTTTAGTGGTGGCCTATACTATATTTTATATTTTGTACTACTTGACTTTCGATATGTTAAAGTTCCACATTGCTATCATTAGTTCCATCATGGTTAACGGGTATTCTTATCACATGTGTAGTCTTCTCAACATCTAGATTCTGGAACACATGTAGAATTTTGACTCCTTTACCACTAGTTGATGCAAAGACAAGATCTTCTCGAGAACAGGCTAGACCACCTCTGAAAACAGAACTATTTTTTTTTAAGTAGGTTTCTATGTTTATTCCTACTAGACTTGCTTTCCATAGTTTAAAAAGGGATCAAGAAACGTGTGTATTCAAGATTAGGAGTATCAATCGGTTTTGGTCCAGTCCGACCCAAAACCTTCAAAACCTATTGCTATATAAATTTGGTATTGCCTGAATACTTGTTTACAAGCCCGACCCGACATAAAAGAATTATAAAATTTTATGGGCTTTTCGAGATTTTATAAAAGATAAATTAAAAATTAAATGAATTAATTTTAAAACTAAAATTATCAATATATTTATAAAATCTTAAATTAAACAGTAATAACGAATATAAATACTGGATCATGATCATCAGGAATAGGATTGGACGCAAGGCGGGTATTTGCTATTTTAGCAATATTGATACTTGACTTGTCTTGTATAAGTAATAAACATTATGACTTGTATTTGATTTGTCAAAAATGAGTACTTGTTATTGCGAATAATTACTAAAAAAATAAGTTACTTGCATATTATTTATGAGTTACTTGTGAATATTTTTCAATAACATATATGTAATTTCAAGTATTTAAAAATTATTTGCTGAATAATGCTATACTGAAAAATGAAAAATGGAAGTTTATTTTATTTATTGTAAAAGAAAAAAATATGAGAATTAATATAAATAAAATATTTGTACATAATATAAAGGATAAGAATGAAAAAAAAATATGAAATATTTCTATTGGAACATTATTTATTTCACACAATAACAAAAACATATTTTCCAAATAAGTAACGAGTAATATCAATTTAAGTAGTTAATTTTTTCACATATTTGTTACTTGACTTGTATTTGAAAATATCTAAATTTTACTACTTGATACTCAACTTGACAATGACAAATACTTAAAACAACAAGACGAATACAGTGTGAGCTAGTAACAAGTTTAAACGAGTAACGTGTGTTTATGCCCAACCCTAATCAGAAAGTTATTCAATTTACCACATTCACATTGTTATCAAGAGATACATATAAAATACAAAATATTACAAATCTACATATAAATCAATATAATTTTTTGATAAATATTAATAATTTACCTTGATCGCGAAACGTAAATCATTTCATGTTATATAAATCAGTGATTTAACATGTCTAGATAGGAGACTTTTATATTTATTTAAGACATGAATACCATTGCTAAAACTAGACATTGACGTCATTGTAGTTCCCAAATTTTATATTTGTATAAAACATGAACACTAATTTTCTATTTGCTTAAAATATAAACACCAAAGTTAAATAATTAACTAAATTCAAAATTAATATTTAAATAATTAAATAAATTCAAAATTAATATTTTGGATCTGTTCCATTTGACCCATAACAGTTAAAAGTGAAATGGACTAAACTCAAAAGACACAACTTTTTAGTTTATATAATTAAGCTCGTCTCCACTGATTTATAGGGTTATGCAAGTTTGGGATGCGAGATGTTCTAATTGACATGTCTATTCAAGAAAAATGTTCTATAACACTAGAATCAGCAGTATATATTTATTTTTTAAAATATTAAGTTTTTCACCCAATAATTAATGGGGTTTCTATTATTTCCATAGTATATTGAGAATTCGGCAAAAAAAAAGCATGAACTTTGCATAATTGCCCAAAAAACCTAAACACGGCATTTGCCAAAAGAAATCTGTACTTTTATTGACTTTGTTAGTTTATTATAAAACTTTCGATTGACTCACCAATTAAACACACCGTTAACGAGCAATTAAGACGTTAACACGACGCTAAATGTTGCTATTAACTAGTACGACGTCATTTCGTCCAACTGTTTTGTTGAAGTCAAAATCGCAAGACGACGTCGTTTTGTTTGTTTTGTTTATTTAAAAAACGTTGCACGATAAAGTCGAACTCGCGTAATCGTGGCTAATTAGGGGGTTTTTGCCACTGAACTAGTGGACTTTTCGGGATATTACCATACATATTATCTTTTATTGATCAAAAGATGTGGATGACTGAATTAAAAAAAAAAACGTAACCCTAATTTTTTCAGAAACCAAAAAATATTTGGGGAAACTCTCTCTCAAAACCCTAAGGCGATGGCAAAGACGAAATGGACAAACAATGGAAGGGTGATCCCGCCTCCGTTGAGGCATTATGATTACTCTAGTGAGAGTGAAGAAGCGGTGTCGGAGAAGGGAAAGAAGGGAGGAGAAGGTGGTGGTAAGAGTGAAGAAGCGGTTTTTGTGTCGAAGAAAGGTGATGGTGGGAGTGGTTCAAAAGTCGAAGAAGAGATCGGTGAATCGTGGAAAAGGCGGTGCTGCGAGTTTATCATCGCCGTCGAGGAAAAGTAGAAGACTTGAAAGGAAATCGGTGTTGGCATCTACAGAGGTGCTGAAGACCAAAAGGTGTGGGACACCATATGGTGGTTCAACTCTGTCTCCTACACCAACGAAGAAGCAAAAGGTAGTTGATTGAGGAAAGTCGAAGAAAAGTCAGGTAGATGAAATTTTGGCATCTACAGAGGCGTCAAAGAGCAATGAGAATACTAGTGGTGGTGATGAATTGCCCCAGAGTGAGACAAATGAGAAAAATCATCCGAGTGAAGAAGATGAATTTGGGGATATAGTTGATGATGGTAAGCTAGAATCAGAAGGTAGTGATGGAGATATAGTTGATCAGCATCTTTTTATTTTTTTGTCCTCAATTTTTTTTTTTTTTTTTATAAATCAAAGGCCATGGACCAGGGGCAAAGCCCAAACACATTACAAATCTAAATACCAAGTCTAAGCGCAAAAGACAAACAAACCCATATTGTCCCAACAACCATGAAACGAAAACCTTAATTTTCACAGAGCCGCCGCCTGTGTGTCTCGGAGAAACCGTCTCTTCTGACCACCACAGCTTGACCACCGCGTCCAACGCCGACGCCCCGACGCCGCAAACCACGTCCAAAATCACCACTTTATCATCAAAGCTTCTTCTAACGGAGAGCATCAATCGATCTAGATCGTGATCTCATCCTTAACGCAATCGAAGCTACCACACTCAGATCCATTTTACAAACCGTCGGAGAGCGTCATCAAACGAGTTGAGATCTCATCCAACCAACAAACATACTGACATATGAAATAAGCCCAGAACCATAGAATCACCAAGTCCATCTCTCGGGACACCCCGAGCCGACTACAACGAGACTTCCGCAGAGCCAAAATCACCAAACGCCTTCATAGACAAAGACCACAGATGCCGGCGACGCAGAGCTAAGAGAGCCTCCACCCCCGGGAACAATAGCCGGCGACGGCGGAGCTATATAAGCCTCCACCTCCCGGTAACCAAACTAAAATGAGAAACACTCTCCCTATCTCTCCAACACAAGCACATCGAAACGGACAAAGAAATAAAAAAACAAAGGAATAGAAACGCCGGACCAACGGTGGCTGTGAAAGCCCCTCCGTCGGACAGAAAACGAGATTTCACTTTCTCTCTCTAAACCAGATCTCCTTCAACTCGACCGATAGTTGATCAGCGTCATATATTTATTTTTTTCAAATATTAAGTTTTTCACCTAATAATTAATGGGGTTTCCATTCTTTCCATAATATAATATAAAAGAGGAAATTTAGCTAAATCAAGAAGTGGGGTCTAAAACAAAAAGAAGAAGAGAAGTAGGGTGGGAAATAGTAAAAATCTAAATAAGTGAGCCGAGAGGGGTAAATTAGTTAGAGCATCACATCTCCTCTGGTCCCCCTCTGAGAAGCTGAGAAGCTCTCACGGAAACGTTAGATTATGGGTCCCATTCCCCAAACAAACATCTCCAAGCGCCGTTACTTGACGGAGCATGTTGTTATGAAGATTGAAGACAAAGAAAAGACGTTACCTGATGTCGAAGTAAAAGACTTTTGAAGAGGCTGTGTGTGAGAGAAAGAGTTAACGGCGTTAGTGAAGGTAGACGACAACGTGGATGTTATTGCCTGTGTCAGGTGGAAGAGAGAATAGGCAGGTGAGACAGTTAATGTAGAGCTTTTTGTCTGTACTATGGAACAAGGTCGAATGTCTGTACTAAAGAGAAGCTTTATGGCTCTTAAAAAAGCGGCACCGCTTCTCTCACTCGTTTTCAACCTAAACCCACCCAAGTCTTCGTCTCTCCCCACCCCAGCCACATCTTTTTAAGTGGCACTTATCAGAGGGATAGAGAGTGAGACAAAAATTAAAAAGAGGGAGTTTTTTTGTGTTCTTGTGGGTATGTCTTGGATTC